CAGGAATCAGGAGTTTGGTGGTGTGTACGCCCTGCAGCTGGTCAGGGTTACAGAGCATGGGCCCCAGTGCCTGGTACAGGTAAAGAGCCAGGAAAATTTCAAGTACTTAAAAATCTAGATATAACAGAGTCCAAGTCCTCCCTATCCACTTGTTTTCCACCCCTACTTTGAAAAAGGAATCAGCACAGGTTGGAGGAGTGAGAGCTATTTATATAGGGCCAGGCTGACGGCTAATTTGTCCTGAGGGGAGAACAACTATCTGAGTAGTGTCAAATGTTTATTTTGAACATCATTTGATTACAGGTCCCACTGAAGGTGTAATATATGGAATTATATCATGAAAAATTATAAAACCCAAAGAATTCTGAATTTTGAAACATAAAACTCTGAGAGCTTGTATAAGAGATTGTAATTCTCTGATTGTGTTTTGAGATGAAACAAAATTAAATGTAATGAGTTTAGTTTCCCAAACTTTAACTAAAGCCCCTAGAAACATTTTGGAGTAGTATGATATATTACCTGTTTTTTCTCTTACATGGTTTTTGAGGTTTATTCATGTTGGTTGCTTATAGCTCTAATTCATCCGTTTTCACTGTTGTATAGTATTCCACTATATTTATATATCACACTTCATTTAAACATTTTCCTGACATTGGACACTTAGATTATTTTAAAAATCTTACTTATGACGAATAGTGCTACAAGAAACAATCCATGTACATGTGTGAGATTTTGTGCAGTTTCATATCCAACAGTGGAATTATTTGGTATAAATTTATGTTTACTAGCTAATGCCAAACCAATATTTAAAGTAATTGTATCACCATCACTGTCTTTTAAACATTAAAAACATTTTAATATGTTATATGTTACATATAGCTCCTGTAAGTACAAATAAAGTACTTAGTTACTTTTTGATTTTTCAGTTTTAGACATTATATATTGATTCTTACTATGGAAGATGAGTATTTAACTGTCCTTCCTCACCCCTGCCCCCTTCCCACATGCTCAATTTCTCATCTCTATATCCTTTCCAAAAAATCATATCATTTTAGATTAATATTCAGTGTTTACATCATTATATAGCCATAGCGAACCAAGATTACTTGCAGTACACTAAGATTCTTTTTCCTGCACAATTTGTTGTTTGCTCTGGAGTAGAATCAGATATTCTTAACGAAATGCCTCCCGGAGATCTCTGACTTGTTCCATTCTAGAACAGTCATCCTCTTCGTCTGGTCCTCAGCTGCCGCCCTGGCTCCCCATTCTGGGGTTTCCTTGTGCCACCCTCTTGTGTTGGATTTTCTGTTTCTTTATGCCTTGTCTTCCTCTTTCTTGGTTTATGTCTCTATTTCTGTGTGTTCTTAGAAAAGTTCAGGGAAGGTAAGTTTTTAGAGACTTTTTATTTCTGAAAATGTGTTCATTTTAGCATTACTCTCATTGATGATTTGGCTCAAAATAGAATTCTAGTTTGGAAATTCTTTTCTTTCTAGATTTAAAGATATTTTTCCACTGTCTTCTAGCTCCCAGTGTCACTACTGAGGAATCCAAAGCTATTCTAATTCTCGATCTTTTGTATGTAGTGTGCTTCTTTGTTTCTCCTCTCCTTTTCTGGAAAAAAATATAGACTCTTCTCTTTTTCACTGGTTTGGAAATTCAGTACTGATTGCTTTGGTGTGGGTCTATTTCCTTTTATTGAGGTGGATACTTAAATATCTGGTTGCCAGGATGTCTACAAAGCAGTATTAGTCATTAGCTTAATGACTTTTCCAGGAACCACAGTTCTACAGGTTCACACACTTAATTTTATTAACACAATAAGACTCAATTCTTCTCTCAGCAATGGACTTGCCTTGAATGAAATCCCCAGAAGACTGATTTGTCAACCAGAATGCTTCTGGTTTGATTTTCATATCTCAGATTTTGTTATTCTCCAGCTTCTTACCACCAATGACTCTCATCAGAACTACATATATGCCATTTTATTGCCCTGGCAATCAAAGCTCTGTGTAACCTGACTCAACCTACCTCCTAAACTTAACGCCCATGATTCTATCAACTAAATCCTATGTTTAAAAGTCAGACTGGAACAGTCATCATTTTAGGCATAAGCCACAAATGTTCCTAACTTGGCATCATTGTTTATTCTGTTTCTATGTCATAGTGTTCTATTTTTTAAAATTTGTCCTGTCAAAATAATCTACTGAATACCTACCATGTTTGGCAATGTGGATGAATAATATAGCATTTTATGTCACAGATTATTATCGTGAGACAAAGATATTACCCAGCTGTAATGCAGGGCTAACTGACATATATACCATAAGAGAAATGTCAACAAATCTTGTGGGAATTTCAAAGAAGGGAGAGAACACACACGATTGGAGGAATCTGGAAAGGCTTCATAAGACCTTCTTCATAAAAAGGAGAAATTAGAAGTGGGCCGTGAGGAAGAATGCAGTTGGGTTAAGTTGGGATTGGAGAACATTTCGGTATGAAGAACAACATGAATGGGGCCCTGGAGGTAGAAAATTATGGGTAATATATGAGGTACAACAAGGCTATAGTATATTTTTGTGTAAGAGAGAACTAAAGATTAAAGGATGTATTAGGACCAGAGCATGGAGAGCCTTGAATGCTGGCTTAAGATTTTGCATCAAACAAGAGGATGGTATTAAGGATCTACTGAAAGTTGAATGGCCTTTTAAAAACCAACTAAAATATAACATGTGTGAACCATCCCTGATTCCCCCCATTAGATGCAGCCTCTCTTCTGTAAATGTTCATAGGGCATTTTATATCTCTTTTATGTCATTTAGTTGAGCATCTACTGTATGCCAGGCACAATGCCAATAACAAGGTAAATAAGGTAACTATGACATTTCAGTTTGTCCTCTTTGAGCCTCTCTTCCTTAGTAGAGCATAATTCTTGATGGTAGGGCGACGTCAGTTCATCTTGGTGCCTCCCTCACTCCCTGTATCTGGCATAGTGCCTTGTACCTGGTAGGTTCTCAGGAAATAGTCATAGACACTGAGAACTGAGAAAGAGAGTCTAAATTTTTCTTTGTAAAAGTGAGAAAGCCAAGGTTCAGGAAGGTTAGGGACATGCCAGGGTTATATAGGAGTTAGCAGCACAGTTGGACGGAGAACCAAGGTGCCCTGACACCTGATCTAGCACTCTTTCACCTATACTATATTTGAATGTACACTCATGAGTATAACTAAACCTGGATATTTAGATTTTGGAATTGCTTGAGGTGTGTGGTCTTTAGCAGACAAAATTAGAAATTAGATCAGTAATAAGGTCTGTTGAGCAAAATAGAATGAAGACACACTTCTGTCTGAGGGTTCCAAATTCTAATTAAGTAGGTCACTTAGAACTATAGATGGGACTCTGGTACAGCAAGAATGAAAAAGAAAAGGCAGAAAAAATGATTCAGGTGTCAAAAACTGACCTAATTAAGGGAAATGGAAAGTTGAAAGATTATGTGACCTTGAAGCTTTTGTAAACCAGAATAATTTTGCATTTGTTTGTTTCCTGTGTAACCTACTTTTTTTCTTCTTCCTAGGGATGATTCATTTACTTAATATAAACATATGTGGTGGTAATAGTTAAAGACTTTCACCAGCGAAATACAGTAAATGCTGTGTCTGGTTTGAGGCATTAGTGAAATGCAAGGCTTTAGCTACATTAACAATTTCAAAAATTAAGCAGTCACAAGTGAATAAATTATTTTTCAAACTGAAAGTCCATAGAGTTATAGAAATTAGTCTTAGAGACTGTCACTATAGTGATTTCAAAACACAACTCTGTGTTTTTAAACAGTTCTCTTGAAGCATGTCTCTCATGAAGAAAGTGTTGGAGTGCCCTTGATGAGAATGAGAGTAGTTAGGGGAGGGCACTGCTTATTTTTTAGGTGAACTTCTAATAGAAGTTGTAGTAAATGTAGGTACATGGAGAGAAAGAAAAAAGTAGGCTACTGAAATATTTTACTTCCTCAGGAATATGAATGTTAGCACAGCTTGGTGAAGGCTGGAGGTCATGAAGAGGAAGAACATCAGGCTGGTCTACCTCAAGAGAGAACTGCAGTCCAGCTCA